CTGCGTAGCTCCCAAGAACTGAGAGATCATGTGCCACTGAGCTGCACAGACGCAGATACATCGAATTGTGGGGGGGGAACCCCACACAGTTACCAAATTGTAGAAAGGTATCTCTCAGCAAGTACCAGCCTGCCTGCCTTTGGCAAGCAGCAAAGTATCAGGGAGGGAACCTGAGAAAGCCACCACAAACTCCTACCACAGTCATCTTAACAAGCTAGTAAAGACTCAGTAGCCCATATCCTTTGGAGTTAGCTTCATCAGCTCCCCACTATACAGACAGTAAACACTAGCATGTCTTTGGGATCCCCATTGCTACTGACAATTTACACTTTATTATTTTGAAGTGCTCAAGCAGTACTACAGAAGATTAACAGACACTCGCTGTTTCTTTTTTTAAGGTATACGAGACAGTCAACGACTGAACCACATTCATAGCGAAACCTCCTCCCCCCCCATTATAAGTTGCACTTAAATTCACAGTTTATGCTGTCAAAGCTTTGTCTAGGGGATCTCAGCACTTGTATTTGTCACAAGCAAGGGATATAGAAAGAAATGATAGAACCATTTACTCTCCTTCAGAATACAGTATTTTATAAGACTATTAAACAAGCTTCTTTTCTAGCAATACAGTTGCAGCCAGTGTAGTCCCAGGTGCCAGTATGAGCAAGACACGTTCTGCATCGTGTTCCGGGGAGACACTGCTATTATGCTTCACAGCCTGAGGCAGCAGCAGAACCCTTTTGACAATGAAACTTATCAAGGCTGGTTTCAAAGCCATCTGTTGCCACTGCAGACAGGACAGCAAAAGTTCTGTAAAAATAAGAATTGTACATTTCACTTGGGGAACTAAGAGTATAAGAAAAACTCTCTCTATCCGTCCTCAAGGCTATTTTTCTAGACACACTGACAAAGCAATTATCTTGGAGAAGAGGGAGACATTGCAACAAAATTTTTTTAAAGTGAGTAGTTGGCAAGATGGAAGAAAGTAGTGCCAGAGACCTATATCCTACTCTGCTCGTGTGAGAACTTGAAGGGCAGGACTTAAGCTTCTGTAACAAGCAGAATTAACAGTGGCACAGATGGGCTTGTGCACTGAGAAGGATAAAGTCTCCTGCACACACGGTTCTGTTGGTGATTGACAAGCTGTTCAGAAATTGTCTCTTCTGTGGTTTCAGCTACTCTCCAGGCAGAAAGTAAACAGGTAAGGCAAATGGACTATACCCACACAGTTGTTCTTTATCGGAACCATTAAGACCAGGAGTTTCATTCATTTTCACCAGCAACTATATGAAAATGGAACAGACTAAAATCAGAACAGTAACAACGCATATGCTGCGACCAGGAAAAGCCTCCAGAATCACAGGAAAAAGGGTCATAAGTCAGATCAGACAGAGGTGACCTAAAAGTGACCTAAGTGATTGCCACAACAGATAAGAGATGACACTTGTGATAATGGACTCTGCAGTATCATCATAAGCAGTAATAACAGAATTGGCAGAAATTAAGATGAGGGAAGAGTACAACTACATTCAGCCAGGGAAACATTTCAGACTTCTTTCCTAAAAACATTCATCAGAGGATACACCGGATGGCCAGCAAGCCCAATGCTTCAGGTTTTTCTAATGGCAATAAAAAGTCATTACCAAAATCCAACAGGTATCATTACAGTAAACACAGAATAGTTATAAACACTGGTACAAACAAGGATTAGTTTCTCACGTTTACTATTTTGTATTGTTACCATCTTCATTCTAAGAACAGCAGTTAAATACAAGTACTGCATGACAACTGCAGCACGACATGCTACCATGTTTTTGCTGTGACGGTTTTTTAGGTTTTAGCTCAACCAACATGCACGCAGCATCTGAAGCTATCACTTAAAAAGTTGCTACTAGGGAAAGATGAATCAAAAGAAAAATCTCCTTAATTCCCAATTCATGCATTACATTGGAAGGCAGAAGAAAGAGAGATTTGTTTGCACATCCATGTTAACATAAGCACCAAAGAAAGTGTCCAGAAGGAAATAATTAAGTGTTGACATGGCAGCAGCTGTGTTGGCTGAATCATATTTAGGTTGGCAATCAAAACCCCACAACTTAAAGACTAAAGAGGGAATCTTCAGTTCAAGTACTTGTAATTTAACAGCGGGACTTGAAAGTGAGAAATCTAGAAACACAGATATATATACACCTCCTGGTCAGACAAGGAATGCAGAGCTTGGCTAATATGCTATTCAGTGACTTCAAAGGAAGTATTTTTCAAGTTCAGTCTAAACCATTAGAAAATTGAAAAGCAACGCACAGAGGCACATAAAGAATTGTATCTGCAGCCTTCCTCCTGTGACTTACCAGATGCTATTAGGCAGCCACTATCTTTATGTCAGGCTGTCTTACAGACAGATAAACAATTAGTAAGTTTGGAGATCTCTCTAAGAGCTAGAAACTCATAGCAATTCTCAATGCACTACTTCAGCTTAGGGCTTAGAGGTCAGTGAAAGTCAGTTCTCACCCTGTTGCACATAACAGGGATTCCTGTCAAGTCATGCTTATCAATACTTATTTTCCACAGAAAGAGATTCAAGAGCCATGTCTAGAATAGCCTTCATCCAAAGACTGTGAATCATTAGCAAATAGGCATTGCAAAAATTGCTTAGCACCTTCCACATCAAAAGCAGCTCAACTGTATTTCTTTACTTTTGTGGTTAGCATCATGGAGCGCCCAAACACTGAAATAGGATTAAGCACTGCCATGTTTAGTGCTACACACTAACACGTGACTTCTGCCCTAAGGAGCTCACACTGAGTCAGTGCTGTGCTGGCACACCAGACAGGCACGGCAGTAGAGGCTGAGCTGCACTGGGCTGAACTGACCGAATGCGTTTCTCGGTCTCAGCTAGCACTTCTCAGAGTACTCACTGCTTTTACTAACAAGGCAGGTACCAGAATTGTCATTGAATTCGTATTTAAAAAATAACTCTAATCATTTAACAATTATCTCAGTTGGGACACCTGAATACAGAAAAGTCAGAAAGAATTTGTGCAAGTTTTCCAATTTCTTCCTCCACTGAGGCTGTTCTGGACTTTTTTTTTTTTTTTTAAAGTGTTTCAAGCAACTTGCAACAATGTGCCAGGAGTTTCATATTGACAGAACTCCAAAACCACTACTCAAACACCCTGTTAACTGATGTCGTAACTTCATATATAATAGAATCTGCTATTTCTGAACTTATGCACTACGTGAAAGTCACAAGCAGCTTCAAGAACTTTGCATGAGCAACAAGCTAAAACAGATTGAAAGAAGGAGTTACGGATATCCTGCCTCCCAGAATTAGACCCACAGCTGTGCTTTTCTTAGCTTTTATGTTTCCAACTTTACCTAGCTTGTCATATTCATTACCATCAACACCCACATCACTCTACCTTGAAGACAGACAGCAAACTTCGCTCTAAGGTAATTAGAAATTAACATCAAGGAGATGTATTTTATGTTAGCAGAATAAGGACAAGTACCCACAAGAGGAAAGGTTACATACACAAAACCTCCTTGTCCTTCAGATAAACGAGAAACTAAAGCAATGAAACATGTATTTCCAGGCACAATATTCAAGGATTTATGTACTTGTACCACAAGTGACAGCTGCAGGAGACCAAAAACAATGTTTGTCCCCCAAAGTATACTGCTTGAACACAACCACAAAGGCAGAAGACAGACATAAAAATCCAGCATCTCAAAGAGCAGAGCTGGGTAAATTTGGTAACAGAAACACATTAGTCCCAGTCTGGAGAGTTGTTTGTCAGATCTCACAATATCTGCATCCTATTATCTGAAACTTGATACAGGAAAAGGCAATTAGATTCTCCTAGAAGTTTCCTTGGCTACCTTAGTAGTGGGGTATCACAGTATCTATCCCCTAGCCTTTTTACCAGCAAAACTTTGCGCCTTTGGTGAGTCAAATCTTAATATAGCTGAAATCAATTGAGAAATTTCTGTTGACTTAAATATGATCAAAATATGCTGATATAGATACTATGCTGCTTCTGATGTATAAAAAAGTACCCCATGACTGCAGTCACATATTCATTCTGCTGCCTCATTCATCACTGCATTTTTTGAAATGAAAACCAAATTTAAGCCTAAAATATATTAGCAATTTATATATGAATTACCTTTTCAATAGGAAGGCTTTTCTCATTTTGTAGCTAAGAGCACTGTTTGTAGCAACTGAAAACTCAGTTTTACAACTAGAAACCATAAGATCCGAGACTGCCAGAATAATGCCCTGTTTCACTCTACTTTCTACACAGCATGTAACAAGACCTACAGAATGCAGCAAATGAAGGAAAGGCCGTTAGGCTGACATGCATCTATTTACAATAGATGCTGTTTGAACTAGACCCAATTCTTTATGGTGACATACACACAGCTACTAAAAAAAAAAAAAGTAAGGTTTTGTATAAAATACAGTATACTTACATTTGCAAAAGGGAATGAGCTAGCCACACATCCAGTGTTGCAATAAGCAAACTCCAGCTGAGTCTCACCATCATTTCCTGTCCTTGGTGAACATGCTAGCAATTTCAGCCCAACCACAACTGCTCAGCACACACACATGCACACTCATACACAAAGAGCATCTCCAATCCCTAAAACTCCCCTCCCACCTCTCCTGCATGCAAACCCAGATATTATACAAAATTAGAAGAGGGGACATAAATGGGCCTAACACAGCATGTGGGGAGGGGGATATCAGAGTAAAGAAAAAGAGAATAAAGAATCGTGAATGCTGTTGCTTTGTAAATGGACTAGGAGCCACAGTGGAAAATATTTAGCTTAATCTATTGGGAGCACAGACTAGGGAGTATTACTCAGGATTTTTTTAAAAAAAAAAACATTTTCAACAATAAAAAACGAAGTTCATGGAAATTAAAACTGTTGTTACCCAGGGCTTTACAGAAAATGTCCATGAAAACACTTGCTTTAAATACCCAAACCGGACTTACAAGCTCTGTTGCAATTAAGTTGAGTGAAATATTCTGAACTCCATGACTAATCAATGAAAGTCAAGGGATGAAGCAACAACCAGCTGTTCCTTGTATCCCTTCTCGAGAAAGCAGAGAAGGAAGAACACTGTTACCATCATTAGAGGCCTAGAACAAAAATGTAAGGCAGACAAATTACCTTACAAGGAAGAACTAAAATTATTAAACGCCCTTTTCTCTAGCCATTCCAGATATCCTCCTAGTAAAAATAAATCAGCAAGTGTCAGTGAAGAGTACCTCACTGCCAGTGAACTATACCAAACAAGTTTTCAAGTAACGGAGTATTTAAATGCTCATATTGTCTAATTTGTCCTCAAATGGAAATTAAATCAATCTGGAAACTGAAGTGACTGGATTTAATTAACCTATTTTCTTGAAGATGTGGGCAAGAAGAAAAAAAACAAAAATAACGGTGGCATTTTTTTATTTTACACAAGCACAGAGAACCACAGATTTAGACAAGAGTGACGGCTTTGCAAACGTGCCCAAGATTTCTGAAGTTACATTTAACAGCCAGCCGGCTGCCTGCTCGATTCCCCGGAGCACGCAGCAAGCGGGCAGACCTGCCCCTGCCCACTCCCTCCAGGGAAAGCCACCTCTCCGCCCGGGAGGTTACGTTTGGGAAGCAGCTGCCCGGTGTATCACAGCTAACCTGGAATTCGCTCTGTCTCGGTGCCACAGGGAGCACACCGGGAGTTAAAAAGATGACGAGCAGCTCCCAGCAGCACTCTC